AGAGGGACTGAGGACAATCTTTTAAAGATTAGATATATAAATAAGAGCGTATTATTGTCTCAAGGATTGCAATGTTGTATATGCATGTGTATTGTATGTTGGTATGCTGTGGTGTGTGTGTTGGTGGGGTTACTTTCATTTAAGAAAAAGCCCTTACAGCGGCGGTTAATGGACAAAATAATCAGCTAATAATAGGTAATTTCAACACGATAAGCAATTTATACCTGCCATTACATGGAAACTGGAAAACAAAAGGTTCCCTCATAATTGTGTAGACACTTTGAAAATTGTGTGGATAGATTAAGTTTGATTGATATCTGGAGAGTGAGAAATGGAATAATCAAGCAGGGTACTTTATAGAGACAAACCAATCCTTTTGTGCAAAGTCGTCTTGATTATTAGTTTATATCCGCAGAATTATATGAAATAATATCATCTATAGCTCCTGATCATTCAGTTGTACAACTAAACTTCTTTAACTTACCTTCGAATGATATCAAATTCAAAGGATTTTCTAGGAAATTTGGATATCAACTGGATATTTTCGTATCGGGAAAGGTGTGAAGACAAGGTGACCCCGGCCCCCCCCCCCCCACTCAGTGTTATTTAGGGTACGCGTATGCTTGTACCCTCTTTTTGAAAAGACCCCCTATCTGAGCACTGCCAACATTTCCGAACCCCCCCTTTCGCGGGCTTTTCACGGGCTTTTCCTGCCTTGGAGACCCCCCTAAATCCGGAACGCTGCTCAATGTACCCCCCCCCCCCTATCTCAGGACATGCAGACACCCCCCCCCCCCCCCTCTCATCTCAGATAAGCTGTCATTACTGGTTTGCACTTCTTCAAGTTCAAGTTCTTCTTCTTGATCATTTTGAAGCACAATTTTGTTTAGGGCTTCAATATTACACCATATCACAGACACTGATAACATGAAGGGCCTTGCATCTCAGATTTAACATTGTTAAACGATCCCTTTAATACACAGCCAGGAATACTAATGCAGCTGTGTGTGAATTAGGGTAGCCTACACTACAGTACAAAACTACATACTAGGTCTAGATTCAAGTCCCACATGTTCATTTTCATGGGTGTAGGAAAATGAGTTTGAAAGTGTTATTATTGCGATCAAACTATAGGGCAAACTACTCACCTGAATGTGCCACCCTGTGAGCCACAGGTAGACAGCCACAATATCCACAACGAGGAGACTGTGGGTCCTGCTCAAAGACGTCCCAATCATGACAATTTTGGCAGGGCCCACGCCTAATAGCCCATCTTGATGCCCCGGCTTGATGCCGAGCCTAGCACGATATGCATGATGAGCGCGCCGTACTACAGACTATACGTTCTGTTGTTATCTCTCTCTCTCTCTCTCTCACACAGATTTTGAGAAGTCCGTACTGCCCCTGTACTGGGACGGGAGTGCATGGGACTCAATGTTTTTACTTTTCATAATGAAATAATCCTGAATGAGCTTTCAAAACTAGCAGGAATTTCTGAAATCTGATCGCGGGATTTCATTAATTTTTCTATGTTCAACTTCAAGATTTTTTTATAACCCCCTTTTTAATTACAAAGAGATGAGAGAAAAACACCCCTTTTTTAAAGAAATCTCCGGGTGAAAGTCAAATACACCCCCTTTTTTTACATTTCGCGGGCCGGACTTTGTCGCACGAAAAGTACCCCTTTACCGGACATTTTGGCAACACGCATGCGGTCATTTCCAAACCTGAGTGGGGGGGCCGGGGGTGACCCTCTGTCTCCCTATCCATTTTTACTCTGCATTGAGATTCTTGCTCGCGCAATTCGCAGCGACTCGGCTATTCATGAGGCTCCCTTCGATGATATTCACGTTAAACAAATTCTTTATGCAAATGACATGTCGCTGTTTGTTCAACTTCAAGACACTGAATCTTTTAATATATAGACTAAACACAATGTTTACCAGTTTTGCAAATATGTCTGGATTGTAGCTGAAGAGAAACAAAACTTTTGTATTACTGTTGGGTCCTAACGCGGATAAAGATGTAATAGTTCCATTTGGTAGGATAGTAAACATTGTAAAGATATTAGGTATACAATTTACGTTAGACGTGGAAAGCCAGGAAAGAATGATTTACAAAAAGAAAGTTAAGTTAAAAAGCTGCTTATGTGGTGGAAACAAAGAGATTTGACTTTGATGGGGAAACTTCAACTCATTAAGAATTTTGTTCCATCAAAATTAGTAAATTTATCCTCACTCACACCGGGACCGCCTTGGGCATTCCGTGAAATTGAAGTGTTAAAGCCCCACTGCACTACTTATAGCTACTTGCGCCCTCTATATAGCAAACAATTCCTTATCGATGCCTGTTGTTCCCCCATGATCCCCTTTTTCGTATCTTAATTGAGATCTGATTCGATGAGATAAGCACCTTTCAGTGACCTTGCAGGGAGGTATAATCTCCCTGGCCAGACTAGTGCAGACAGGATTTAACATTCAGTTTTTTTTTGTATAGAATGGAAAAGATGAAATCAAACGGAGTACTATGTTTTTACGATATATTACGCCAAGGGAGGTCTTAAATTAACCGTAAGATTTTCAATTTTTTCCTCGAATACAAAGAATCATGTGGATAAAGAGACTTGTCGTGCGGCTTTTTTTTTGGAAATATCATTCATTCAGTGCACAACATATTATTTTGTTACCTCAAAATAAGGGAGGCTGAAATAACAAGATACAAGCTGAACAAATTTATTCGGGGAACGCTACATACGTCTGCCAGACATTTACTGCATATGCTTTGATAGGCCAATGGCGATAGTTGCGTGTTAGAAGTAGTCGCTACGACGTCCTTAATATTAAGTTATTCTAATGAAGCTTCATCGGAATGTTTACAAGTATTTAACAAAATATTACAACTTGAGGAATCTGTGTTTAACAACTGTTGAACAGTCTTGAGTACACACGGAATAACGAAATTGAGCAACATTTGTTTGGATAGATTTTACAACCCCATCAAGGAAAGAGAGGATTACGACACTCCTTATAATCACCAGGAAGATGTTTGGTCAGAGTCCAGGCTTGTGGTACACCAGCAGAAAGTTGTTTATAGTCAATCACCGATAGCAGTACAGTATTCATGCATATACAAATGGATTAGGCTGTCTGTGTGTGTTGGGGAGGACGCTAAAGCATATGAATAGGTATCCTAAATACACTTGCTGCAGAACCTTACGATCAATTAATAGTGGCTATAACACACGAAAAGGACAGCTTAACGAAAAACACCCCCTGAAACAACCCAATAGCAAAACAAAAAGAAAGCTCCCAATAATTATGTCCGCTGGGCGCGGGGGCCACTAATTATCCTTAAAACGTTCAAACAGGAGGGTATACAATTTGCTTTATAATGAAAATTGAAGGAGCAAGGAAACAAAACGAATATTGCTGATGAAATACTATGGAACTAAAAAAAAAACTCTTTATAAATGGAAAATCTATCGTTAATTCCAGAAGAGCAGAATAAGGATGTGTAAAAATTCTGACAAGTTAAACAAACATAGGTGACCACTCACCGGAAGCATTGCAAAAATAAAGATTTAGAAGTTACGAAATATCTAACACTTTTAAACGGTTTTAAGAAAATGTGCAGGGAAGCTTTTTTTCACGAAAGAAAAGTATCACTCCTTCACAGAATCAATAAATTACTTGCCACTATTAAGGATTCAAGACATGATAATAAAAACGCAAATTATACATAAATATATACATATATACAGCTTTGCAGCAAACTTTTACATGTAAATAATCCTGAAACATCCAAAACGTTTTACTATACGTTTGAATATTTAATCATGGGTTTTATGATATGTCTTGATAGAGTTATCCTCCCAGTTCATTTAGAACCATTTTCATTTGAATCTCTGCATGCATGACTGAACATCAGACAATCTTTACAAGACTGCCAGATCTCACTTGCGCCAAATTGCTGGGTGAGGAATAAAATAGTGTTTTAAACAAAGACAGTCAGACATACACAAAAAACACACACGCACGCGCACGCACACACACCTACACATTCACGCGCACACGCAAACGCACATAAATGAGCGTTCCATTCCCGACAAGGCCCACCCAAACTGTTACTTTTTGTCGGGAATTCTTCTTCTCGTACGAAAAGTTGAGTGGCCGCTGTCCTCTTGGTGCGTATTGGCGGATGTTGTGCTTCATGATGATGATGATGCTGCTGATGATGATGATAATGATGATGATTAAGATGATAACAATGATGATGATGATGATGATGACATGATGGTGGTAGTGAATGTGTACTATTAAAAGGGAAAGATTGTCAGGGTTATGCCACTTAAAAATTCAGCGATCTTGATAAAAAATCAAGGCTTATTCAGAAAAGGGGAAATTATGGAACAATCGTTACCGTGTGTGTTGTGTGTGTGGATGTGCGTGTGTGTGTGTGTGTGTATGTGTGTGTGTTTATTTCTGTGTTTTTCTTTGTGTCTGTCTTACTGTCTTTGTTCAATGCACTGTTTTATTCCTCACCCAGTAACTTGGCGCAAGTAAGATCTGGCAGTCTTGTAAAGATTATCTGATGTTCAGATGGTACCTAATCGAACTTGGAGGATAACTCTATCAAGACAATTCTTAAAAACTATGATTAAATGTTCATACTTCAAACAATACAACTTTTAAAAAGTGGGACATTTCTGACTCACTCTGTACAATATAAACATATTATTTAAATTAAACATAAGAGACACAATTTTCTTTAAATTATATACACTGTATATTGACAATTTATGTATTCATATGTTCAGTATTTAAAAAAAAGTATGTATCAATTGATTGTCAATATACTCCAAATACGTTTATGAAAAAGAAAAAGAAAAAGGTTTGTAAAGAAAAGTTTTTGCTTATATAAAGAAGAAAGAAATTCTTAATGACCTCGCTTTCAGAGCTCATTAGTAAAGATATTCGTAAGACACTTCTGATACTGCAACGTCAGGCGGGGTTCGATTTCGGTCTGTATCTCACAAGGACTATGAGGAGGAGAACGATGACGTCGATACAAGCTAATAGTTTGAACGTTGCGTCGTAAGACGAGAAGTGATCCGCAATCATGCCTGCAAAAATAATGAGAAAAAAATTAATAGACCATGTTCATATGCATACCTATGTACAGATACCTTACATTACAGTAATTTGGTCATCACTACTTTGTTCTAATTTCATTTATTGTGATATCTCATTTAAACCTAAGCCGAGTGGCCTCGTTCTCTCTTTATTTGTAGTAAATTGCATCATAGGATTGTGTAAGCAGTTTGAACTATTTAGTTCTTAAAGGTAATACAAAGTTTTGGTATGGGGTCATGAATTTGGTTCAAATGAACATATTGGAAGCATATGCGGTCCTACAATATTCAGTAATCGTTGTCGCGGTTGAAATGGAGTCTAAAATTATGAAATTGTAAATGATAAACCCTTTATTTTGTATAGCTCCCTCTCAGGGTCAAGAAATTCATTAAGCTATAAAACAATGGTTGTTGACTAAAATCGACCGATTAGCTATTCCCGTTTGAAAAATATAAACTACATATTCTGAAATTGTCATTGTTCGGCCATAGGCGCTATTTGACATTTTTCAGCATTTACCTGGAGCACCGGTAAATTTTTATATTCAATTTGTCTCAAAAGCAGAAGTGTTTTAGGGGCTAAATTTTCTAGTGCCTATGTTACATCAACAGGGGCATCCAAATATCTCAAAATTTTAAAGAATCACTATCCACCCAATTTTTAAAATTTCACAAAACTTTGTTTTACCTTTGTATTTCATGTTATATTCATTGAATTTCAAAAGAACGGTTAGAATCCTGGGAGAGTGCAATTTTTTTAATTCATTTTCTCTTATCGAATCATTCTGTTTGCTTGAATGCAAGTTACGAATCGGAATTTAAACTTTCTGGAAACAACATGACAATATTGTGATTTTTTTAAAATGTAATTCAAAGTATTTTAAAAGGCAATTTTGTTAATTTTGATTAGTTAAGGAAGTATAATTAAATGGCTACGTTTTGTTTACTCGGTTTTGGTGATTCCTTACCACATAAATAACCACCAAGAAACAACCCGAATCCGACAGATAGTTGGTCAACTGCATACGCGACATCAAACTTCTCGGGAGACGCTCTATCCCTCACAACCAGCTGATTTAACACCGACCGACCTCCAATTGACATTGCGGAGATACATGTCGTCACCAACATGGCGTAGTAGTTGTCAAAATACACATCGCATAGAATAGCGGCGATGTTCAAGATTGTAGCGAAGAGAAAGAGGGTGACAGGTTTGACGAGGCTGTTGGTAAGGAAACCTGCAGCAACCCTGCTGAAGGTATTCCCTATTGCAGCTGCGAAAGTGATGATAATGGTGTTCCGGACAGAGATCCCCCTCTGCAGAGCATGCGGTACAAGAAAGGAGTGCCAACCGCTCCAAACCATATTATACACGAAAGTAACACCAAATACCACATTGAACACAGGATCCATGTAAAAATCAGATTGACGAAGGCTGTTGGCGATCGTACGAACAACTCCAATCTCGTCGCTGCTGTCCCCTTTCAAGAAGAAAGAAAGAAATTAATATCCTAAATACATTCGGTATGTTCTTTTCTCGTATTATGTCACAGTATACATGATGGTCTAACTTTTCGTATAATACCAACGATTAAGGATAAAATGATTCAAAAATCGGCAATATATTCAGAAGTCTCCTCTAATCACAAAGGCCATTATATCATCACAAGAGTAGAAGATTGTATGAGTATTGAGCTGTATATAACTAGTTCCTGGTCTCTTAAACACAGTTCATCTTTCGAAGGGTGGCTAAAGCCTCGACCGTTTCCATAAAATAATATCTGTTTCCGAGGTGGCGCAACTGAATTATCAGTCAAAGCATTTCTGTTAAAATCGGACAGGGTAACATCTTGCAGACAACAAATTTATATTTATGCCGGTCCTCTTAGACTAGACCATCTCGACCATAGCACACGAGACCGACAGCCCACGAGACTAAAGATGGAGGTCTAGAAAATCTTCTGGCAAACTGTCAACATGGCCAAAGGCCTTTGAGACCAACAGGACACAAGAACGTCATGTTGGTCTTCTTGGCCGTTAGACATCTTTTTTGAAGGTTTAAGAGACCGATAATGTTGGTCGCATGAAACTGCCGGTCTCGTGAGCTGTCGGTCTAATAAGGTTTTCCGGTCGAGCTCACCCTTTGTGTCCTGACTGGTGCTACTGTTCGATTCTGTTCCTTCGTTACACCCCTGAGGCGAACTTGGAACACTCTGAAAACCATTTCTCTGTCTGCTATTCTTATGTGATTCAAACTTAATTGCCATGCCAACTGGGATAATATTAGCCATCAGCGCGCTTATGATGAGCAGTCCACCTCTCCACCCGTATGCTTGACGTAAGAATTCAGCAAAGAGCGGTACAAGAACCATTCCGACGCCATATCCAGTCAAACCAATGCTGTACAGTAGGTTGTAATTCTCCTTAGCCACACGGTGCAATATCATGGTACAACAAGTACTTATCATACAATTTCCAAGACCTGTTTAACATAAAATGAAAAAAATTGGGATTTTTATATTGATATAATGCCTAATCACTCAATTAGATGGAAAAGAATGAATTACGTACGCCATGTTTTAATTAAAGTATAGGCAATATTATTTCTGGATTTATAGAACATCCATCACTATATATATAAATATTGTATAAATTTCGTCATCAAGGTTATCACATTACTAAATATTTCTTTATATACTTTTTAAATCATCACTCCCCCCCCCCTCCCCTCCCCACCCCAGGCTATCACGCTATCAAGCAATTGCTTATTGTAATAGCTCTTATTCTTCTTCTGCAGATTCCTTTATGAATATTTCTTGGTATTGTGTTATCAGCTATATTTGGTTTCAACGTTATCATTTATAATTATATTGTATACACGTTAAAAAAAGTGTATATTTTGTACATGTATATAATGTGTTTTCCAAAAATGTATTTAGATTTTATATTACAGGAGAAAATAAATTCAATTTAATTCGAAGAGCTTGAAGGGTGAATGTAATTTCATGCATTTTTTACTCACATATGTTAAGACGTCATCATATTGCAGTTTAAAGTAAGATTTCATATTTTTAATCAAAGACGTCGTTTTCTCAATGTTCTTTGAACAGTGTCTCGCTTGTTCTACCCGATTTATTCCATATTTTGATATGTTATAGTTGAGAATCCGCGCTACAAGGATTGTAATATTAACCCCATACCTAGACAATCATCGCCAAATTTTAGAAATGAAGGTACAGGTCATAATCTGCCACGACGCTGTTTTTGCGCTTTTTTTATGACCGCAAGTTGCGTATTTAACTATGCTATTGCACAAACACTCGTGTGCTACATTGTACTATTTAACCGTGCTATTGCACATTTTATTCCCATTGACACGTACGGAAGCGTTAAAGTGCCATTCTACTTGACGACATGACGAGATATTTCATCTTGTCAAGTCGACTTAATATCCATATCATGTCGACATGTAAAGATATTTAACCTACCATGTCGACTTATCAACTTTTATTAGTCGACATGGCGAAATAAATTATCTTGCCAAGTCGACTTTACAAAAAGTTCATGTCGTCATGGCGACATAAGTTATCTAACCAAGTCGACTTCTAAAAAAATACATGTCGTCATGGCGACATATATTATCTTACCAAGTCGACTACCCAAAAAGTAATGTCGACATGGCGAAATAAATTATCTTGCAAAGTCGACTTCACAAAAAGTTCATGTCGTCATGGCGACATGTATTATCTTGCCAAGTCGACTTCACAAAAAAGTTCATCTCGTAATAGCGACATAAATTATCTCACCAAGTCGACTTCCCAAAAAGTATATGTCGTCATGGCGAGATATGTAGTGTGACGACTATTTCATGCAGCGCGCGTATATGGCAAGCCCTTTGTGTAAAAACCAGATAAACTCTGTTTTTCTCAGATAAACTCAGTTTATCAACAGTTAAACACAGTTTATCAGAAAATAATAATAATAATAATAATAATAATACATTACATTTATAATGCGCTTAATACAATGTTTCTAAGTTGATAAACTGAGTTTTTCTGATAAACTCAGTTTATCAACTGATAAACTCTGTTTATCTGTTGATTAACTGAGTTTATCATTGATAAACAGAGTTTTTCTGATAAATTGAGTTTATCTGAGAAAAACTGAGTTTATCTGAGAAAAACAGAGTTCATCTGGTTTTTACACAAAGGGCTTGCCATATACGCGCGCTGCATGAAATAGTCGTCACACTACATATCTCGCCATGACGACATATACTTTTTGGGAAGTCGACTTGGTGAGATAATTTATGTCGCTATTATGAGATGAAATTTGTTGTGAAGTCGACTTGGCAAGATAATTTATGTCGCCATGTCGACATTACTTTTTGGGTAGTCGACTTGGTAAGATAATATATGTCGCCATGACCACATGAATTTTTTGTGAAGTCGACTTGGCAAGATAATTTATTTCGCCATGTCGACTAATAAAAGTTGATAAGTCGACATGGTAGGTTAAATATTTTTACATGTCGACATGATATGGATATTAAGTCGACTTGACAAGATGAAATATCTCGTCATGTCGTCAAGTAGAATGGCACTTTAACGCTTCCGTAGACACGTAATACAGTACTTCATTATTATCTTCAAATGAGAACATGCCCCCTATTCTTGTACAAGTTACAATTAAAATCTCAAATTTGTATTCGATGCGTATTTTAGTTTTTTATCATGTTGTTTCCAGAAAGTGGAAAGTCCGCTTTTTAACCTTCTTTAATAAAGCGAAAAGAATGATTTCATAAGAGTGAGTAAATTGCAACAATTAACTCTCCGCTCTTCCAACTGTTTGCGAAAACCTAAAATGTAATCAACTGTAAGGTCAACAAAGATAAAGAAAAGAAGGGCTTGAAATATGTTTAGTAGGTACGGTGTATAGTTTCTTACCGGCAATGGAAAGATAGATTGCTATTTGAGCGTTGCTGGTTGCCATGGATGTCAAAGCCACGCCCATTGGAGGGAGACATGTACCAGATATCAAAAGCAGACGACGAGTCGAATGGTGACGATAGAGGGCAGCAATGATAGGAGCTGTAGGCAGACAAGAACACTCTCAGGTTATAATAATTTATATACAGTGTCCATTTATATAAAATAGTCATCATCAAATGAATATTCATTTACATAATATATAACAATGCAAATATTATTGTCGATTGTTTGGGAGAGCAAAAAAACAGAAAAAAGTACCAGAGAGCTTAACAAAATAGCAGATTGCGATAAGAAACATATGATTCTTAAAATAGGTAAATCAGTTTAAATTAGGGAGGAGAGAAATATGTTTTTAAGGATATTTTGAAAGTGTCAAGACGGTTTCAATTTTTGCTGGAAAGGGGGATATTTGTTCATGTTTTCAAATAAGCCACTGTAAAATGTTTTTGATAATAGATGGGAGTCTGGATTTGGGAATAATTGAGTTATAGTTGCCACTTGTTTAGCGAATCTGATGAGCTGGTGTATATACCAGGAGTGTGCCGTTTGGAGGGATTCAGGCTAATAGGCAAATTGCCACCAGGTGTAAACATCTGGCGTCACGATCCGTGTATAGCATACAGTACTATTCTCAGATACTCAGAAATTATGCACAATATACATAATTAAGTGCGGTGCCGTATTGTGAGGATATGCATGGGTAAATCAGAATATCTAAGCTCTAGCAATAAAAGACAATATAAACCAAATGATTTTACTGCTTATATACGATACTGTAGATTTTTGTTTTAATACAAAATTTTCCCCACAGTAGGGCGTTTTATTGAATATTAAGTGCAGTATATGTTTGTCTCCATAACAACAGCTATTGAGTGATAATAACAATGACTGGATGAAACACTGAAACATGTAATAATGTGACACATAATGTGTATATGCCACTGACAGTAAACTCACATCATTAACAAGATTGAAAGAGGACATCAGGTAAGATGCCAATACTGTACATCACAGTGCCAGCCAGCACCCACCGACCACACTCCAAAACTGAACAAGACAGAACAATAGATCCGGTCCTGTAACCCCATTGTTCTGGCTCGTTAGCTCCACTCACTATGAATATGACGGACAAAGAAAGCGGACAAAATATACAGTTCCTCAGGTAGACAGAGGAACATCCCTTCACTGCTATTATGTCAAAATGTGTAGAACAGGTGTCACATGTATATTCACCTGTTCTACACATTTTGACATAATAGCAGTGAAGGGATGTTCCTTTGTCTACCTGAGGAACTGTATATTTTGTCCGCTTTCTTTGTCCGTCATGTTCATAGTGACTGCTCTCGCGTATCGAGCGCAAAAGTGAAGCCATGAATGCTGACCGCCACCGTTAAACCGTCAAAACGCGTCATATGACGCATATAAACCTTGGTTTGTCTACAGACCTCCTCTGTGAATTCGGGCCATAATCAGCATTAATCAAAAAGACCATTGAAACCTGACCAATATCTTTCAAATAAATCTTGGTAACCTTGCTAAATATTTTTACAAAAGATGGTTTTTCAAATTAAAATTGCGCGCTCAACCTCTCTTAATCATGTTCTAAATTCCTACCTGCTTCATAATTTTGTATATACACTGTCCTACAATCATGGGGTCGACACCCACTCACCCCTTTTCTTTTGTATAATCTTGTCCATGTAGTTCATAATTACCATTGTGTTTTCACGCTGCGTTGTATATGTTCTCTTCAGTAGTCACTTGTTTTGTGTTTGAATCCTTGTGTTAATTTGTTTTAAAAATATTTTTTTATAGTAGATCCCTCCATTTCACTAGACATATACATATTCAGTAACATTTGTATTCTTCTTCTTTATATTTAGATTGTATGATATGATTATCTGATAATTCCTTATAACTTAATCTAGAATGATATAAATAATGTTTTTTGTTATGCAAAGTAAATATGTATAGGCCTACTTGAATAATTATTTGTGTATACTTTGTTTAAAATGTTGTTTGCAATTAATTTATTGCATAAAATTTGTATTTTTCCTAATGAAACAGAAAATAAAAACTTGAAACTTGAAACTAATATTAGGCGCTTTAAACATGGTACTGTTTTTATTTTTAGGTGGTATGTCATCGAAAGATTACCAATTGATTTCGTCAATTTCGTCAATTTCTTTCAATTTTGGCCAAGTCATTGGTCATTTGTCACAAGACGTGAGAGCAGCATTTTCAATGTCATCAGGTCTTCATGACGTCATCCAGGCGCCATTGTCAAAAAATCAACTCATGATCGTATCTCCATTAACGATTTTAATACACTTGTTTTTCATTCAGGCTTAAAAACCTAATAATGGGGCAAGTACAGAAGAAACAGTTACAATCCTGGAATCTTGTCTTAGTGATATTTGATATTAACAAGGGTGACAGCGTCCCTGCATCTATCC